CTCCGCAGAAGACGGGGCTTTCTACTCCCTTAAAGAATCTCAGGAACCCACAAGGACGACAGTTCCACCCTGCCCTATAGAGTCACGATGCGTAGGCATAGCTCCTTATAAGGTATTTTCATACTCAATTTTATGGATTCCCTTCTGCATATAGTAAACCAAAACTATTTCATTTCGTTGTTTATAAAAGTTGAGTCTTCTTTCTCAGTTCAGTAAACATATATTGTGCCATTTTTATGAGTGCCCCACCTTGCAAAGAACATACTAGAGTCAGACATGTTCTCTGCCCTTAAAGATCTTGGGTTCGGGGTTAGGGGCGGGCGGTGCGTGCATAGGCAGCATCTGATGTGGTGCAAACCCGTTGTCCAGCACTCCCATTTCCTCCAAGGCGAGCTGCTGTGTGTCTCCCTCAGTGACCAGTCTGGGGGCATATTAACGGTAATCAGATTCTCTGGGCATCTGTGAGTATTGGCATTTCTATTATTATTAACTCTCAAACTAATTAGCCATTTCTTAAGTCTTTGTAAGTAGAAACATCCATCTACTTTCAACTTTGGCGTAATGTCACGTTTAACAGAAGATAACACGTGTTCAGTAGATGCTAAATGTTGAAGGACATTAATAACTAAGGCTCAACTGTACTGATGCTTTGGAGGTTTTTGCTGGGTGGTTTCTTTCAAAAGTAAATGGACTGTTGGAGACACCTAGTGTCTCTTTGAACATAGTGGGCATGGAAAGCCTCCTTGGCTTACCCTCATTCCACTAACTCAAGCTCTATTGCATTTCGATGTAGCAACCCTGGAGAGCAGCGTTGTCGGACTGCCCCTGTAGGTTTCCCAGCCCGTAACTCTCCATAGGATTAGAACGCCTTTGCCAATAAAACTGCTGGGAGAAAGAAATTCTTCCTCCAGCAGAGGACTGGCTTAGAACTGTTGACCTTGTAGTTAGCAGCCTAACCACTACTCTACTAGGGCCTCCTTTTTAGGGTCTTTAATTTCATAGCGAGGGCTTTATTTCCTTGGTTTATAAAGCATTGCCAGTTGTCATCTTAATCCTCCCAAATTGCTCTTTACTTGCTGCAGCCTGCACCGTGATCTCATTTAGAGACCAGCATTCAGGATATGCGTGCTCTGAGACCATAGGCTG